TATGGGCGTTTGATATTGGATCCAAGTTCATGACCTCATTGGGTATGCATGTGGGTCGTTGTGCGGAGCGGTGCACTCGGCGTCAGTAACCCTCGATACAGAGCCCATCCCGGCCCACGGCTAGGAGTCCTGGCCTACCGTTACCCGGGTCGGTCAGTCCATGGCGCCGGTCTCCTCCCGGTACCATGAGCCGGCACATTGCAGCTAGCCGTGTTTGCATCAGCGTGTGGGCCGGCAGAGGTGTGAGATTGGTCTGATAATCGGCTCACTCGGCGCTCCGGAGGCGCCGCACAGCAGGCGGGGCGGCGACGGGCGGGGGAGGGGCGACGGTGATCAATGGAAGGGAATATTGGTTTGTCTGTCCAGAGGTGATGATGTAAGACGCTGTAAACAAGTTTTTCGAAGTTTACATAGATGATCGAGAAACGATTTTCGCATGGTCAAAAATTACAAGTTTCATGCGTGAGAATGAAACGTATGAGATTTGTGTCTTTATTTTGGCTTAGGAAGCATGGCAAGGAAACATGGCAACTTGTCTGCATGTAGTTTTTACCGAGCCCACACACGCAGCATGTTTTTCATGCCATTCTTGCATGTAAATTGCAAGTTAAATGGGTAAAACCAGCGATTTCACTAATTTTGTCATGAATAGTGAAAGGGCCCATCCCCTCTCGTAGCACCAAGCCTCATCCGGAACACCTGTATGATTGGCTTCGTCACGATGAAACATTTCCATTAGTTCCCGAATATCGGCGTGGGAACCCTCCTCGAATGTTTCAAAGCGTTCTGAAGGCTCTAAAACCAGCAAACGCGGATGACCAGCGCTCGTGGTTTTTATTTATTTATTTATTTGGGGTCAAGGACAACAGGCATACGTGGGCCCATTTAATGTCCAAGCACTCAAAATCAGTCAAATGTTACACACAAACACTGGGACAAAAACATTGCAACTACGATACAATTTTACAATTCTTTTACATATGTTGACACATTGGCCCTAAGTTCCCTTAAAGAGTCATGGAATACATCAGCATCAGTACACTGAAACAAAAACTTATTAACAAACGATGGTGCTCTAACAAAAAGTGACCTTTGTACCGCGTCTACTCTCGCAAATGGAACATGAAAGACACCACGTGCTTGTTCGGTGCTTCTCGTTGCCCTTGGCGCGATAAATAGAGGGAAATGGGCTAAAAGGGCTGCACAATCAGTATGATTTTTATACAATTTGGCAACAAACATAATGTCATATTGTCGACGCCTATTCTCTAGACATGCGACGCCAAATAATCGCAGCAAGTCACTGTAATCAATAGCTGATGGTGAGTCTTGACATCGAGTATAACAATATAGCCAATATAAGAAACGTTGTTGCACCCTTTCGATTCTGTCCAGGTACGTTTTTGCGGCACCTCCCCAAATAACACAACAATACTCGAGAATTGCTCTAACGTTACCATAATATGCTGTTAAAATGGGCTTCCAGCTAAATGAAGTTTCAGAGATAAAGTTTCAGAGATTGGTCGATTTTGAGTGTGAGAGCCTAGCTCGGTAATGTTGCCGGTGGTCATAGGTCATTCTCATTAGGTACATTCGTCATCCAAGGCTAGCGCGCCCGACGCATTTAGACAACCATGGTCCAGCCGTTCCCGGATCACGGATTTCATTGTTGATGTGAATTGTGGAACCGTTTTAGCAGTGCATTGTAGAAGCATAAAAGCATACAGGTCATTGCGACAATTATCGGCCAGTTTGGAGTGTGATGAATTAGGCATTATGTTCATTTGGGAATCGGGATCGATGATCATATAGGTAATTTGATTTTAAGCGTCTGTAGATCCCATCGGTATCAATTTAATCAGCTACGGATTCCTTCGGTATCACTTTAGCCAGCAATAGATCCCAGTGGTATCATTTCCTTTGACCACTGTCCACCACCCATGGCACCCAGGTCAGACTGAGGTCATCCCTGTCGCCGTCCGTCAGCTGAGCTCTGTTCGATCCCCGTGCACCCTTGTTCGTGAGCAGCTGTCGATAGCATCAGCCAGCCAATGGCGTGTCTCCGGCATGCTGATGAGCGCGGACGAGGGAGGTGCTTGTGGTGCCGTCCGTCCGTCCGTCTCCCCGCCCGTCCGCCCGTCCGTCTGGTCCGTCTGGCCCGCCTGCCCGCCTGCCCGCCTGCAAGTCTGGAAAACGGCTGTTTAAGTCTGTGCCGTATAGGGGTGGCCGACCATACTGTGGCTTGATCTTACTTTAGTGTTGATTTGGCCGCTCTAAATTTGTTTTGTTTTGTTGGGTTAGGCCCTTTCGGTCCATTAAGACCATTTCAGAGCCGGGAGGATAATAGGATATAGGGGGAGACATTGGTCTGGGCAGGCACCCTAGTGAGTCGCCGGGGCTGAGCCCGTTCAGAGGACAGGCCAACCAGCCCCAAGGCACTCACTGCACCCGGCTACGGGGTGCGCTCCCTCGGGAGCAGCGGTGCCGCTCCAAGGGAGCAGCCCGTATGAGATAAAGTTGCCTGTCCAGCCCGGAGGGAGGTTGCGGCGTGGAGGAGAAGGATTTCTGTTTCCTGAGGATAGAAGCACGGAACGGAGCCGCTCTAAATTGGGTGATCAACATCACTTTTCACGTTAGCCGGTCCCGTAGCTCAGTTGGTAGAGCGTTGGACTCCGCGTGGTGAGAGCACGCGTTCCCGGTTACAACAGTCCGGGTTCGAAGCGCGACGGGCGCTTGACATTTATGGGCCTCCTGACAGGTATGGTTGCGGTTGGTGGTAGGCCGTAGCCAGGCGAAGTCAGTGAAGAGACCGGCCGTGTGCGGCTATGTGCGCACGTTAAACTTTGGACTCTAAATTCTGCCATAGAACTGGAATTGCGCAATCGGAGGGTAGAGGGCAGGGTCACCGCAACAAGCTTCGCTTAGCGGTGGCTCTGTCCTTATGAATCCTTCCTATCAAAAGGTTCGGACTAAATTTATTTAAAAAAAATCAAATGCCAGACATGTGGCGTGGAAAGTTGCGCTCTTTCGTTCACTTTTCGTTTGTATCATATGGTATCTAATGGTGTTTTTCTCATCTCGTCTCGTTTCCTGTCCTCTTCTCTCCTCGCCCTCCTCTTCCTTCCCTTTTCTCTCATCTCACATATCCTCTCCTCTCCTCTCCGTCCCCTCCTCTTCCTTCCCTCTGTCACCCCTCGTGTACCCTCCCACCTAATCCATCCCCGCGACACGGTGTTGCCATTAACACCCACTCCCCACCCACCCGGCCCCCTGCAGTGGCCAGCTCATGGCTCCAGTCGGCCCGCCCGGCTGAACTCTGCACCAGAAGCCGCGGACGATGGACGGCATCCATTGTGATTCATAAGCAGCGCCGGGGCTAATGGGAGGTCACTCACCGACCACCACCGGTCGATATAGGCGGCTCACAGCCAGGTGGTGGGGCAACGAATAAATCGATCAGTTTTGGTCGTCTTATAGACGGTAATTTACGTCGGGTGGTAGACATGACAAAGTTGGAAATACTGTCTTCATGCAAAAGTGTTTCATGGATTCTTGAACGTATTTGGTTTGGGAAGAACTCACGATCATTTGAGATCGTCCGAAGCTTTGCGTGTGTTCGAAAACAGATAGCATGAGAGATGAATGCGGGAACTCCTGTGTTAGACTTATACAAAGATCTCATCACAAATCATACAGTGTCACGTGTATGGTGGTCTACATTTATAATCGTTACAGGCACTTCAAAGCTTAGCGCTCATTTTAGAAAAGCTGACACGGAAAAGAAATGTAATAGCTGAAGTGGACAGCTGATCAGATGGATGGTCATATGTATCATACAAGAGAACATGCTGTAGAGCCGTTGTTATTGAGTAGGCATATCTTGACGCAGCGGTACGTTAACAGACGTGTACATACAGCCTATCATTTGTGACAGGGCTCTACAGATCCAGATGATCTTTTCTTAAACGTTCCATTTTCTGCAGGTTGGTATTTATGCGGTATAATGATGAACGATCGATTTAAAGATCATATAACCCACTCTGCAGGTTTGCCCAAAAAATATCACTAGCCACCAGGCATCTAAGAATTATCGATACGGAGTGTGTCCCTTGATATTCATGACGTGTGACAAAACAGCACAAAGGGCGCTGGATTGACGGATGGTGACGCTGGCGACAGAATACGTGGAAAGACGCGACTGGTGGGCGCCACAAGAGCACGCCGAGAGCCGACCTAAAACAGCGGCACTGACCGGGTTAAAACGGACCGTTACACTTTCGTCCCTGCGTCTCCTCCCTCAGTCCTGCCGGTCCCTACATAGACCCGCGCCCTGGGTTTGTATAAATTGTGACCCAAAGACCCACATCTCCCGACCGGTTCCATGGCTCGGGCTCTGTTTTGGAGATGGCAGGATTAGGACGACGGCCGTTTAATGAACAGGAATTAATAGTGCCGCGGCTCATCACTGTGTCATCGGGGATTTCACCCGGGTTTTAAAGGGCGGATACTGGATTTGTGCTATCCGATAGTCCTTGAATTTCTGGAATGATACCAGGTGATGAGGTTAATGAACAGGAAGACACATTCTGACCGTTTTAGGCCTCGTGTTTCTGGTGAATTCAGGCTGGTTTCAAAACTGCTCTGGAGAATGATTGGGTGTGTTTTTAAGGCTACATTCTGTCTGTGTTTTTACCGAAGAATGTTCGGCTGATTTTGATAACGAAAGGTTTAAAAGGATTAATTTAGGGATTAGGCTATAATTTTAAAAAAGTTGATCCTCTGGACTTCAATATCGGGTTACGTTTTATTTAACTGCATCAACTGTTATTTTTTAATGAAGCTTATAGGAAGATTTTGGAAAGCGCAATCAGCAATGGTAACTGCTTTCGCCCTTACCCTCCACGATGGGACACGCTGAAAAAAAGATAGGTCTGGTGTCATATGATAATGATTCACTTTTGTAGTAAACTATCAGCTATGTTGTCTTGTACGGACGATGATAAGGGTATGTTCTGTTTATTTTACAACCGGAACATCAACGCATTCATGACGCTCACATTAACTCACAACTGCAGACACAAATTTCAAAGACACACAAATACACAAAATGCTCACACGCACACACCACGGGACCCCCCTCGGGAGCCCGAGACTGATGTCAGCTCTCCGTAACAAACAAACAATAACACTCACAAACAAACAATTACGCCCACAAACAAACAAAACACCAGCGAGCCCAAACAAACAATGGGGACGGGCTACTGCCGAATGGAAGCCACGACAGTGCAATAGTGCATACATAAACTATATCTATCAGCGTTTGGACTAAATGTCACGTTTCATTAGGCACTAACGTTTCTAAACCCCTGAAGTACGGATGTACCGCTCGCTGCAACAGGACCTTAGGAGCAATGCATCCACAAAAACACATATCTAACATATTAACACATGCTTGTGTGTGTGTGTGTGTGTATAGATATACACATGAAGAACGTGCCCTCAGAATCAATTGAATAGGCAGCTACATATTGTACCTACAAATACATAACATTCATATAGACACGATTAGCACCCCTTTATAAGGCCACTGTCCAATTCATATTGATATAGCCATGGAAGTTTGGCACCAGCGATAACAATGTATTTACACTTGAAATACTTTGTGACGTGATCCGAATAAATGTTGCTGTTCTAGGTAATCGCGAGCTGAATCGTAGGTAATTCAGGACATGAAAATCTTTTATACGCATGCCTTACTTTATAACTTCGAGATTTGCATAAAGCTTAACATTTGAACGTCATGTGCCTACCCGATTTTCAGTAGATGATATAACTATTAACTAAAACTTTCATATTATTTCGACGCCTTCAGTTTCCCTGATATTATTTCCCGTACCTAACGCGACACCCTCAATCCGCATTTGACAACCGTCACTCCTTATGACTGCTCAGTGCTCACCTAAACCCTCCACCAGCTGCCTGCACGCTCCAGTCTCTTTCCCCTCAGCTATCTCCTCTCGCTCTCCTACTCGGTTTTCTTATCAGTCGCCGAAGTTCCCTCATCTTCCTCCTTCAGCGACTGTGTGGCGGTGGACGAGACATTCGGCACTACAGCGACATCTATACCGGCGCCACTAGCGCCACCTGCTCCCCCGAAGAACGGCTTCCCGGGCGCTGCCGTAGGCGTCAGCGGAGCCTTCTCAAACATTGGCACCGAGAGGTAGCGCTTGAGGAAGGGCTTCTGCTTGGTCTTCGGGTCCGTGTAGGGGTTCTTCAGACGCCACTCGCGCTGCTTGATCACTGAGGGGGAGAGGGGCAATGAACGTCAAGGTGCTATAGTCAGCGGCCGCAGGGCTTCTGTCGTCTTTCTACATAAAGTAAGCGAGCCAAAGTGACGTATTCGGATTTGAAAACTTAAAGTAGTGACAAGTAAAAGCGGATTGGCTTTGGCAACAAGTTCTATTAAGTTCCATCAGTCATCTCTTATTTCCTTAGACCATTTACAAGTCAACTCTTCAAGAGTGAGTGTGGCGACTGGCGAGTCCCTTCCGACAGTTCACTAGCATTTCTTTTGACACACGAACAAGAACGTATCAGCCATTGCCGTTTACTCAATCGAAGCGACTCTCAAAATCGCTCCTTCGGCACATCCCAGTTGGACTCTAAGTAGTACCTCCGCCCTCCGCCAGATGTCCGTACCTGCGGCCGGCGGCGTGGGAGGGCAGGTCCGCTTCTGCAGCATCGAGTCCACGACAGTGGTCGGCAGGGCCTGCATGATGGTGGAGCGCAGCGTCCCCGCCACACTGGGCACGTAGCGACACTGAAGGACGGGGGACGTGAGACTGATATGCAGTAAACTGGGGAACGTCAGTCGTTACAAGACATGCGAGGGGCAACAAAACGTCTATCCCCCATAATAATAAACCTTTACACAATTCATACGTTTTGTGAAATTATCTTCCAATTAAGTCGCTCTGAACGCTGATTTTGTATTTGATTTGTGTGGTGATTTTTGTATGCACGACGGCGAGTACATGACACTTGCATTTCGTTCTATGTTTATGTGCAGCGTTGACTGCGTCGTGGCAGATCTGCACCTAATGTCGCTGCTGCTAACCTACATATTACACTTTGCCTGCCCTGGCCCGCCGCAGACTGGTGTTTGATTCATCTGTGATTGAATCAATTGGATTGAATCAAACAAAATTTGTTGAATCAAAAAGGTTTGATTCACCGTCAGCATTGTTTGATTCACAAGCCATTATTGAATCAAACGCAATGGTAATCAGGGTTGATTGAATCAAAAAAATTAATGATTCATGAACTTAGAAATAAATTGAAGTGGACGAACATAGTTCATTATCAACAAATATTAACACTACTGCCATTACATGACAACAAAAAGAACACAACAAATACAATACTATCCCTAATATTTTGTATATTTTATTTTTTAATTGAATAAAAAAAAGAATCATTCAAAAAAATTCTGGCTGAATCAAACGTGAATCATTCCTTTTATTGTTTTTAGATTCTCTGAATCAAAAGGAATCGATTCACCAAATTTTTTGAAGGAATCAAACGGTAATTGAAACAAACAAAAATCAAATGAATAAATGATTGAATCGATCCAAAAAAGGTGAACCAAAAACCAGTCTGGCCCACCGAGTCACTTACCCGCGGCTCTGTGCCGACGACGGCGTCCAAAATGTCGTCCACCACCTCGTAAATTTTGCTGGCCGGTCGGGCGTTCTTCAGTTCAGAAAGGAACTTTACCTGAGCGAGAGAACATCGTTGGTTAACAGCAATGAACAACAGGTTCACTATAACGTTTTTAGCCATCCGCTAGAACAATGCGCCACTAACGATCGTGCTTTATAGTCAGGGGAAGGAGGCCCAATTTTGGGCCGAATAACGCAAAATTGGGTACAGCTTAGCAAAGGGTGGTTTCTGGGACAAAAATGACCGCTGAACCCGAATCTGACCGGTGCGCACCTCTAACTAATGTTGCACCACTTCCAGAGCACGTGCAACTGCGTGGTTATCTTTTTTGGAGAATGGTACCTTTTTAATGAATTGCAGTGTAACGTCGTTGATATTTGAGATATTGTTTTGAGATTTTGTCCCTGTGCTAAAAACACGTGGCGCAATTGAAAGCTGAAGTTTTGCAATGTTCGGGCAGCCGATGATGTCACCGTGACGTCATTTACCTATAAATGAGTTGAAAAAGTCGTCTTGTCCTTAAAGCATTTAACTTTATTCCCGTCGTATGCGAATCAGAGAAGGGAAAATAATCAAACATGATCTATGAACATTTCTGAGTCGGACCATGCTAAAATCGTTTTTGCAGAGGTACATGTGAGTCACGTTGAGAACGTGACAGTCCAAAGCACCACCTGACAGATTTGGTCAAACTGGATGAAGTAGTACAGCAGATTGATAAATCACGTGAAACAGGATATTTTTATATCATTTTTACCGTGTTCTGGCGCTGCGACGGCATTTAAATCAAAATGCTGTTAGCGTTGAATTGACTAAATATCGCTCCTTTGGTCTTATTTATAGTTCAAATTGTATATTTATTTATTTATTTCAAGTAAATATCCATTCCTATGAATAACGGAAAGTCAGCGTGGGTTCAGCCTAGTCGTTACGCGCGTTTGGCAAGCGATAAAAAATGATCCAGAATTGTGCCTGTCATGAAGACTGAGAAAGAAAATAAACAGCTGTGGTTTATCAAAAAGGGCAAAAAACACCTTTGTAAGAAAGTGAAATATCTTGGATAACTGAGGAAAACAATCTAAGATCGAAGCGAGACCACACGATAGACGATGCAGGAACAAAACAGTGCCTACAAAAATGGCCTCCAACTGCTCAGCCGAGGCCCGGCAGCGCACGAATCGGCAATGACACAGGGCATCTGGGCTCTCCTGGACTCTGTCGCGGCCAGGGGCAGAGCTATTAGTCTCCAGTGGATCCCGGGCCACGCGGGGGTCGAGGGTAATGAAGAAGCGGACCGCCTAGAAAACATCGCGGCGACACCAGGCGACCAGCGTCGGATCCCAGTTGACCTGGCCTGTGCGCGCATCGCCCTCAGACACTGAGCCGGCCTGCTCACCCTCGATCGCTTCAAGCACCACCCACATCTGGAGAACACCCCTGGCCACGACGACCTCGACCGATGGGGACAGACCACTGTCTCGCAGATCCGCAGCGGCTGCTCAACCCTGGTCCGGGCCACACTCTTCAGGATTGGCCTGGCCACCAGCCCTCTCTGCGGACAGTGCGGCGAAGAGGACACGGTCGCACACCTGCTATGCGAGTGCCCGGCCGCGCAAGAACGCGAACCCGGCTCTGGGGGCCGCTCCCTACCCTCTAGGATGTGCTCTCGGGGCCGGCTAAATGCGTCACGGAGTTCCTCGACCGAGTGGGGCGAACCACGCCACCTGTGGACCAGCCCCGGTCTGCCGCGCCCTAGGGCACGGCCGGCAGTGCGCGGAAGAAGAAGGGAGAGCAGGCTGACGCATCGGAACAGGTGCATCTATCCGAGTCCTGCGTCGAGAACGACCAGTCGCTCTGCTCCGTCGACCTGGCCGGCGACTTCACGTACCGGCTGGTTGGCGTCATACAACTTAACGGCGGTGCCAAGCATTCGGGATACTACCTATGTGCGTATACCGTGTACTGTACAGAATGGGACGGAACATATTGTATCATTACGACGAGAACGAGACGCGTCCGCTGGATGGACGAGGCAGACGTCCTGGGCGAAGGCCACCGCCCAGGGTGCACAGTCACCGTGCCGGCGGCCGGCAGCCGAACGCCTCCTGATAGTAGCCGTGGTACATTATATGTGTGTTCGCCTGTGCGTGTGTGTGTATGTTTACGAGAAGAGATAAATACAACCAACCAGAATTAAATTCTCTCCGGTTAGTTTTTACGTGTTCTTCAATGCTCGGGTATGTGACGTCTAAGAACATGAATAACCACAAGACATTGATAAGAACTTGGGACATAACAAATGTGAAACTCTCAGTGACGAAATTTACGCCCACCTTATTAGGTACGTATGCCAACGTAATAAACTAAAACTACGCCTGTTAAGCACACATCTAATTCTAAAATCTCGCAAGCATACTGTATGCCTTACGAATGCTTTGCAGCGCCAATACATATATGAACGACTTCTATACCTACCTTTGAATTTTGTCATGTGACGTCCTGAAAACGTCATCAGCATTTTTTCAGCTATAGCTTTTGATCAAACCACATAAGAACAATGAAAGCATTTTTCATGCGATCATCTTGTTAATCCAAAGAGGCTGGTAAACTACATGACCATTTCCAGTCAGGTCATAACCTTCACTAGCGTGATAATCGACCTGAGCTCATGAACTGCGGTAAAATATAATCTTAACCAATCGAAGCCAATTTGCATACCATTCGATGCGTCTCGGTGAGAGAATCACAACGATGGTAAAATGGACGACATGCAAGCATTGTATCAAAAGTTATTGCACAAAAACTATTTAGGGTAAAGACGCACACTCCGCGGATTTCGCCCCCTGTAGGCCAAAATGGCACCTCCATCCAGACGATTTTTACTTTTTGCAACGGGGAGATATTTTCTGAGCATGCGCTCAATGCATTTTGAACCCGCCAATGAGCGTATCCTGTGAATAAAGTTAAATGTTTTGTTGTCACACCTCATTTTCTCGTCATTTTACGAATAAATGACGTCACAGTGACGTCATAGATTGTCTGCGATATGCGTTAACTAGGATTATCATTTATGCAATAAATTTTGACTATAATATTAAAGTTTTGGAATACAACACAACTACACGACTAATTTTATTCTAAAATATATAAAAAGGGTACCATTCTTCAAAAAAGAAGAACCACGCAGTTGCACGTGCTCTGGAAGTGGTGCAACATTAGTTAGAGGTGCGCACCGGTCATATTCGGGTTCAGCGGCCATTTTTGTCCCAGAAACCACCCTTTGCTAAGCTCTACCCAATTTTGCGTTATTCGGCCCAAAATTGGGCCTCCTTCCCCTGACTATTACTGTGACGGCGAGCGAAGTCCACAAATCTTAAAATTTGTTATTAAGTTACCACTCGCTTTGGCATCTGTCCCATTCCCACATGCATGCTATTCTCCTCTCCTCCCCCCCCTAAAGATCTCGCAAGGGTGAAAGTGCAGGTACAATTGCGATATCAATAAGAATATTCAGCTGCACTGTAAACGTAAACGGTACACAGATGCTGTGCCGCATTGCGCGCAAGTCTTGCGGTGCAGTCTACCTTCCGTTCGGAACGTAAAATTATCTGCTGCCGCCAGCACAACAGAAGACGTTAGTATTTAGTCAAGTAGTTTCGGCAGGAGACAGGGTCGCTTATCCTCGACCTGAGTGTTTTTGGGACACCTTATCTTGAGTGTCCTTTTATAACTAGCCATGATTCATTTTAATTTCTGCCTTCTTGTTCTTGGCATTTGACACGAAACCTCGATTCCGGAAAATAACGGAGCCGATGAACTAACTGATTTCATAGATTTCATCCTTGGAGAAGAGAAGGGAGAATCAAAGTCGAAGTAAAAAAAAAATATTATGTCCTTAAACACCGATCTTTTTTGCGTTATCTGCCTCCGTCATATTTATCCATTTAGCCTTATTTTGCATCGAAACTGGTCAAACGTGGCGTTAAGTTGTCAAAGTGCTGTATTTCATGCATTCATGGACACAAAATCAAATCACAAAATTATTTATTCAAAAAGTATAAACGCAGATCAAAGTCAAAGCTACACAACAGCAGGTTGTGTCCCGGTCCGAACGAATCCTGCCGGTAAAGTTTCCAATCAACCGGGGATCACTGATCAGCAGCCTGGTGAATGGTGAAGTACGAATTCCCAGACCTGCGCTCAGTCTCCGTGCGTTCACAGCCCCTCGGTCGGTCTGATCTTCATGGCAGTGGCGTTCAGCGAGAAGTCGCTCCTCCAGGCGGACCATTGTACACCCTCGGTACTCCGGAGCCTGACAGGTACCGCCCGTTGAGGCTGGCGTTGGTGGAGTACTGTTACCACCCGGCGCCCTCCCGGTCGAACGCGCAGTTCCCCTCCCAGGAGTCGCTGTCCCTGTCGTATGTGAAGAACTTTATAGCGTTGTTGTATAGTAGGTTAGACTGTCTCCGGCGAACCCGCGTTCTCAGCGTAGTCGGTAAGGTCCAGTCGGTAGCCGTCGGCCTCGGACGCGATGGTGAACTATTGGGTAGGTGGCGTACGCCGTCTGTTCATCCCAATCCCAGAGGTCGACCCGCAGCTCGTGCTCTCGATCCTGTTGGTTGGGAGGTCAGCTGCCAGAGGTAGTGAAGTCCCCACCAGACCTCACCATCAAAACTTCCCAGGCCCCACTTGTAGACCTCCCAGCCCTGGAAGAAGTTTTGCCTCGAGGTAATATCATTATCGGCTCTTCTTTGAAAGAGCCGACCCCTCGCTGTCGCCCATGTCGCAGTAGGCCGGGTTTGGAGGTCATTCATGATCCTGTAGACACCGCTAGCGTAAAACCACCCACATATGAGGCGGTACTAACGAGCTAGACCGATCACAATTTCAGGTGGAGACGACTGCCCCTCTCCGACCACCGGGGACGTCCTTCTGCATCACCATGGAGTTGCCGGCGCGTCTCCCAGTGGTGGTCTGCGTTCTCTGGCTGCTGATATGCGCCGCTGGGTCGGCCGCCGAGCTGACCTCTGAACTGACCTCTGAGCGGGTGGGTCAGTCCGGGTCGGTTCAGCGGCAGACCCTGCGCCGCACGTCAGCAGCGAGAGGACGCAGACCACCTCTCGGAGCCGCGGCGGCAGCTCCATGGTGATGCAGGAGGAGGTCCTCGGTGCTCTGAGAGGAGCAGTCGTCTCCACTGAGGGTGCCGTCGGCCCGCGGCCCGCTTTATACGGCCGCACAGGTGGGTGGCTCTCACCCACGCCCTGATAAACGTGTGAACGGTGGCAGTTGTTGCAACGTGTTATCTGTCAGTGCACGAGACGCGCGCCGCCACTGTTTGCCGTTGGTAAATATGGGCCGCAAATTCGGTAGCCAAATCATCGCTTTATTTTGGTACAGGTTTGGCCATTTCACTTCCGGACTGAAATGGCGTTTCCAATGAAATTTTCTAAGCAAGAATGTTAAAACGAAACAGTTTTGTCGTAGCGTGCGAATGTATCCCACTTCTTCGTTTTCACTTCCAATGATTGGACTAAGATTGGTCGTGCCATGCCGTGCCCATCACTTACAGCCAGTCACTTACAGCTTCCTCTCGTATTTTTTTTTTCATTCGTCTCGCGGGTGTTTAACAAGGATGAACCCTCACATATTTCTTAAAACTTTAGTCTCTTATTTAACAAAAAGGAAAGCAACCAAAACAGATACGCTCCATTACGGTGGCAACAGATGTTTGACCGTCCATTGTATTTTATACGCACGTTTGATTAACACGCGCAGTGGAAGGGTTGCGAGTACTACGCCCAGTGGAAGGGGGGGGGGGCGGATGTCGCCCCCCCCTAAGATCTCAGCACCCACTGAAGCTAGAAAGACGAAATTTGGAGGGTAGGTGGGGGCCATGGGGAACTCTGTTGTGTGTGAATTTCATGACCCTAGGTCAATATCTTCAAGGTCAAATGAGGTCAAATGTGGTCAAATCGGCCATATTAGCGACTTTTTTGCGTTTACACGCCGATAACTCAAAAAGTTACCGGCCGATTTTTTAAAATCTTTCACTATACGAAAGAGCAAACATTTGTGAGTATGTATGGTGAATTTCTAGATAATCCAACAATAAATATGGCAGTTAAAAGCCTGCTAAGGGTAGGATGTCGCCGGCTGAAGCGGCATCGGCCGACGCGGGAAACGCGGCAATCACAATTTTGTGTTTACACACTCATAACTCAAGTTGTTACCGGCCGATTTTCAAAATTCTTTGACCATATGATTGCCTGTACATTTCTCAGTCTTCTCACCAAATTTGACGCGAATCTAATATAATCAGCGGTAAGGAGCGCGATGTAAAGACGGAACCGTCCCGCCCCGGCACAGTCTACAATTCAGGCGGCGCGTAACGGCTAGCGCCGGCCGCCGCGCCGCCGCGCCGCCGCGGCGGCAGGATGTTTGACTTTACACCGCCATTACTAGAAAAGTTGTGAACCGATTTTCTTACTTCTTGCACGGGAAGATCCGCAATTCAATTCTGGACAGGTAGCCAAAATTTCACATTGATATTATGCTTGCGGCGCGAGTTATTGGCGAAAAACAGGAGGGGTGGGCGAAATCCGCCCCCCCCTTCCACTGCGCGTGTTAACCTGCGCCGTGCTGGTGGCCCGTGTTTTCCGTGTCGTGCTAGGGGGGGGGGGGGGGTTCACGCCCCCCGTCTAACTCGGCTCCTGGGCCACGTAGCGACACGCGGTAAGCGGCAATCGCAAGAGCGTCAAAAATAAGGTCAGACACACTTCAGTTACCTTTTAGGTCAGGTCAAAGGTCAGGTCACGAGAGGTCATCGAAGGTCAAATGTAGTCAATTTCAACAATTTTGGAAACTGACAACGGCTAACTCGGGAACCAATAGAGCTACAGCGCCGCGGAAAAGCGCATTCAATAGCCCTTTTACAGACCTTTCTGGTCATTGTTTCAGATTTGACCTCAGGTCAACGGTTTAGACTCCGCAGGGCAAAAGGTAAAAAATAGCCGTTTTCATGAAAAACGTTTTCGGTAATAACTTTTGACTCAAGAGAGCCACGACATTACTTTTCCCAGCATCGTGCTCCTCTTGTCGAGACGCGTCGAATGAACTATATGCTGACCTTGAACGGTCATTTTGAAAATTTGACCTTACGTCAAGGTCATGACCTGACCGGGAAAGGTCATGTTGCATATCAGTCGATCCGTATCGTCGATCTGAACACATATGACGTGTTTTCACCGCTCTAGCACGTCTCTATCAAAAGTTATAGCCAAAAAACTGCTGTTGACCGTTCATTACCTGAGATGACCTTAGGGGCACACAGAGGGGTCACTGGTGAATTTTTCCGATTCAGTGTGTCATGTTTACATGTGAGCCGATGTTTGAGAGTGTTTTGAACAACATTCGTCCAAAAGAGGCGCATTTCAGTTTTCTCCCATTGACTTTTAATGGAGAGGTCGCAAAATTGGCCTGACCTTAGGTCGCAGATATCAAAAATCCGAGATATATATTTGATACATATTTTTGTCTTATCAATTGCTGAAAGTTTCAATGCGCTCGTTCAATCGGTGTAGCTATAGCGACTAGCGAGCCTTTGAACTTTTTCTGAGGTGAGGTCACATGACGCGACCTGGTGACCTGACCTTAAACCCCCGGGGTCTGAAATTTTGACATCTGTGGAAAAGATGTATCAAAAGTAGAGCACTTCACGGATAGGCTTTTCAGGATCCGGCCCGGCCCATATCCGGCAAGTCATATCCATTATCCGTGTTTCTTTGAATTTCAAAATCCGGCCCGCCCATGGCCCGTATCTCAGCCATACATCCAAAAAATATCCATAATAATCCGTTTCATTACAAACCGGTTGTGAGACTATCAGCATATCGCCATAAGATCCAAACGTTGGACACTAGGAAGCTATCAAATTGTAATAACAGCAATCTTAGCCATTGCAAAATACATTTTGTGGTAAAAGCTGCATTGCTAAGGATAGGGGTAACACATTGACATGGACCTCAGCATTTCACAAGGTTGGCTATCATTAGAATTGTTAAGAATCTACTGTGGTCTATAAAAGGAAGAGTACTTATTCATATAGCAAAACCACAATCAATTAGTAAGTCAAATGGTAGGTAATAATAAGTATAATACAATGAATAAATAAAGTTTCATGACATTGGCAACATTCTATATGGGAAAAGGCAGAATCAAAACACCTCAAAACCAAAACACATTGTTTGGAAACTAGCCTTGGAATGTGGTCTGACACACTCTACAAAGAATTTGACACTGAAAACCCAGCTGAAAAGGTAGGTATTAAATAGCCTTGAGCCTGACTTTGGTCCTAAAATGAAAGGAAGATAAGTTAAACCGGCATTTTGTCGTATCAACAAGACGACACAACACAATACACAGACAAAATTGACGATAGTGGCGCAAAAAAAAGCAAGCAAGGATTGATTTTTTTTAAGATCCGCTCTCTCTTTATGAAATAGGCGAGCTGATGACGTAATATTGATTCGTTTACCCTTTAAGTTGAATTTCTGATCAGAAAATATTTTTTGGCGTCATTTACACTGAAAATTTTGATAACATCAGAATTTAATATCGTCTTGGATCGTTTTTATTTCTAAAAAAAATCATCCACGAGGCATTGCGCCAAGTTTAAAGCTTTTTTTTGCAGCGTTTTATTCAGCTGGTTAAAAGCATCTGTTATTGCGCATGTGTTTCTAACCTTGCGCAGTGTTTGTTGCTTGTTGCTGTCTGGAAGATTGAAAAATTCGAGAACGCATTACCGTTTTTATACATATTATATGGGGACTGTTCTCAGGACAAGTGAGTTATTAACACATTTTTTACATGATTCGTATCTTATTCAGGAACCAGCGAGCCATGGTGGATATGATGCCATGGTGGTTGTTCTTGCTTCCTCGGTTAGGAACATGGCTGAGTCTGCAGATTTTATGTTGTGACCATCTATATTTAAAAATTTGGTTGGTGCTGCCATATACCTTACAGACTATCATGGCTCACAAAGGTATGCTTATAAATCTCATGTAAATCAATTAATACTTCTGCTGCAGTGCCTAACAAGTTAAGTTACCTAATTCTTAACATGAATATTGAATGCTTCAATTTTATCCGTTCTGATCCGTGTTCAACATTCAATTCCCAAATCCGGCCCGCCCAGATCCGTTCTATTTTTCCAAATTTGGGATCCAATCCTATCCGGTCCACGGATTTATCCGTGGATAACGGATTTATCCGGCCCATGAAGTGCTCTAATCAAAAGGTATACCACGTTTTTGAGATATTCGCGAAAAACCTGAGGGGAAGGGGCGTAAAACGCCCCCTCCCCCTATCCCAGCACGGCGCGGGTTAAAGTTAATAAACAAAAGTCCATACATTGCATGTATAGAAGTTAGCCTGTACGGTGCATTTACCTTGAACTCGTCCCGGTACCGTTCTCCGTAGGTGGATCGAACCTCCTCCCCTGCCGCCTCCCAGTCCTTCTTCACAGTGCCCTCGAGCACCTCCTCAGAGAGAATCGGCGTGCTATGGGACACAGAGATAACGTGTGATTCACAGTCCTTCTTCACAGTGCCTTCGAGCACCTCCTCAGAGAGAATCGGCGTGCTATGGGGGACACAGAGGAAACGTGTGATTCACCCCACTCCTCCTCAGAGAGAATCGGCGTGCTGGGGACACAGAGGAAAAGTGTGATTCACAGTCCTTCTTCACAGTGCCTTCGAGCACCTCTTCAGAGAGAATCGGCGTGCTATGGGGGACATAGAGGAAACGTGTGATTTACAGTCCTTCACACTGCTCCTCCTCAGAGAGAATCGGCGACCGGCGTGCTGGGGACACAGAGATAATGTGTGATGCACAGTCCTTTAAAGTACATCTTGGAGAGAATCGGCGTGCTGATACCGAGGGTAGGGGAAAGAGAGAGAGAGAGAGAGAGAGAGAGAGAGAGAGAGAGAGAGAGAGAGAGAGAGAGAGAGAGAGAGAGAGAGAGAGAGAGAGAGAGAGAGAGAGAGAGAGAGAGAGAGAGAGAGAGACGAGATGACGTTTGTCCTCTCCTCTTTGGTCCATCATAAATAAAATGATAACCCCATTGTAACTATAAAACGTAACCGAAAATATCAACCCAGGATCAATCTGTGATTATACGAAATGTGACATGGCATCACCGTTCTTATAAGTCTATCTCTGCAATGGTTTACGAATCCAAGCCACTGTCTAGGAGAGCGGAAAACAAAACGAAGTACACAACCCACCTCTGGTAACTCTCAGGTCTGTTTATAGCAAAAAGACTCGCGATTAGTGGATCTCGTTAGCACTGCCCTCCGTCCAAACACCCGGGCACGCCAAAAGACACACAGTTTGGAGGCCGGATAAACCCGAGATGTGAGAGGCGTTATGACGTAATTTGGCAGAACTCCCCGGCCAAGGAAACCAAAGTATACATCGGCAGGCCCCACAGAACATGACGAGAAGTCTACGGAAATGAAGTAGTTTGGAGCACACAGCACGTCCGCGTGTGAGCTTTATAAAAAAAATGCAAATTTGTATCCAGGATGACATATTAGTGAATATCAATCAGAAATATCTAGGTGGATTGCGGATATGTTCCGGAGTCCACGATGTGAGTTTCGTATCGTTACGTGCCAGCTACGATTACGTACCGATGGGCGCCTGGTTTTAAGATGTGAGTTACGTACCGTTACGTGCTAGGCTGCTACGTACCGATAAGTTCCAGGCTCCACAGTGTGCACGGTGACGCCGAATTTGGCCATCTCGCGCCGAAGTGCGTCGGCGAATGAAATGGTGGCGTGCTTGGAGACCGAGTACGCCGACAGGCCAGGGATTGTGTAGCGACCTGCGAGAGGTTACAGGCAGGCCACAGGTCAGATAAAAAGGGGAGGTCACATGAAAGATCACAGGGCAGGCCACATAACAGAGCACAGGACAGATCACAGGTCAGTTCACAGGTCAGGTCACAGGTCAGGTCACAAGACAGGTTAACGTCGAAACACCGGTCGGGTAGGAGGAAGGGTATCGGTTGGGTATTAGGTCAGGCACATAGTTATAAAATGGGCGTTAGACCAACAGTCAGGCTGCAGATCGTGTTACAGGTCAGGTCAAATATCAGTTTGCTGGCCTCAGTTCACAGGTCAGGTCATCTGCCGTGTCACGTCAATGTCACACTGATAGCCTGAGGGGTCAGAGGGCAGGCTACAGCCGGGCTCCTCAGGTCCGGTTGTAGTCTCTGAGCGGGCGGCAGCCGGGTATGCAGATCACCTGGCTACCCGGGTCATCAGGGCATACCTGGACGTCCGTTACCTCTGTAAACATTATTGACAGTGATCACCCGTGCCAAGACACAAAACATATCCAAGGTCGCCTTTTTCTCCAGACCCTGTCACGCTCTCCAGACCTCCTTAATCACGCTGCTCACAGCTGTGTCACCGTATGAGTCATTCACCAACAGTCTGTCCCGTGCACACTGCACAACGTCAACACCCAGAGACGGCGTGCACTGCCCCCGGTGCACCGTCTTCCCCGCTGCAGCCTTCACTAACGTCAACACTGGGGAACCGCTGGGGGCACGGGACAGACGAGCCTGTTCAAAGATCAGGCGGTGAAGGGTAGGGGTAAACATAGGGATCTAGGTTACGAGTTCGTGGGGGTTGAGTCGTAGGGTAGTTGCTGATACGAGATTGGGTTACAGAGAGTGGATTGGTTCGTTCTCGGTCACGTTCGGATATCATGTGGTATATTTGGGAGCTGCAGCGCAGTTTGTGATCAGGATGATGTTGGAGTTCGGTACAAAAAGCCACACCGGCTCGTCATTTCCGGTTTTCCTCGGGTAAACGTGGGCCATATCATCTAATTACTAACGATACCTTGTGTTTTTCACATGATCATTTTTAATCGTATGCGGAAACAATAAGGGAAAAACGTCACGATAGTCACCTAAACAGAAAAAAATCAAAAACTCAGTACAGTTCACAAACGCAAGTCAACACCAACAAGCGAAAAAATGACAAACAACTACAGTCTACAACCAGAAACAAAACCAACTTCCCGCTCAAAGGCTACCCTCCATGCCCCTGACCCAGTGACCTTGAGCTCTCCCCTGTGACCTCCTCTCCCCTGTGACCCCGTCCACTGACCTGCCAAACTGGCGACTATGACCACCCGTCCGCCCTGTCCGTGGGATCGCACCAGCGGCAGGAACGCCTTGGTCACCCGGATGGCGCCCAGGCAGTTGACTTCAAACAGTCGCCGGTACATCTCCAGGGGGCACCACTCCACCTCCGACATCGTGAACACGCCGGCGTTGTTGACAATGGCGTGCAGCTCTGCAGGTCACCAGAGGTCAGTGGAGGTCACAAGAGGTCAGTAGAGGGCACCAGAGGTAAGCTAAGATCATCAGAGGTCAAATGGAGTCACTAGAGGTCAATAGAGGCCAGAAGTCAGGTCACCAGATGTCATCACAGGTCATCAGCAGTTCTTTGAGGTTAAGAGAGGTCATCAGAGGCCAGTAGAGATCAGCGAGGTCAGTAGAGGTCAGATCGGTCGGTAGAGGTCATTCTGAGTCTTCAGCAGAGGCGAAGAAAAGTTGGAGAAGTCAGCGGGGTCAGCAGAAAAGCAAGGACCCACCCAGCATTATAGCGACGAAAATAAATTTCTTAAACGCAGAGAAGTCCGCAAAATCGGCAGAAGGCATAAGGATCAGAGATAAGCAGTAGCCCGTGAGGCTCCCTAGATGTCGATGGAGGCTAATGGAACTTGGAAGCCGACTGAAGACATACTCGTATAAGTCAATGAAGGCGATAAGAGGTCAGTGACATGAACAGAGGAATGGAAAGAAGAGTAAACCCAGACTCACTGTCCTCTTTGAGCAGCGCTCTGACGAGCAGCACTGCCGAGTCGACCTGCGACTGGCTGGTGACGTCACAGGGCACCACAGTCAGCTGCCGGGAGCAGTCGTGCTGCAGCGTCCGCGCGCCCTCCCCCTCGGGGAACAGGCAGCCGGCAAACACCCGTAGACCGAGCGCGTCCAGCCGGCGGGCCACCGAGTTACCGAACCCCGTGTCACAGCCTGGCGGTCACAGATGGGTTAAGATACAGAGTTACCGAAACCCGTGTCACAGCCTACCGGTCATAGGTGGGTTACACAGTTACCGAAACCCGTGTCACAGCCTGGCGGTCATAGATGAGTCACACAGTTACCGAACCCGTGTCACAGCCTGGCGGTCATAGACGGGTTAGAGTTACCGAAACCCGTGTCACAACCTGCCGGTCACAGACAGAACAGTCAGAGTTGGGTGAAAGTACAACAAGTATGAGCCAGGCTCTGAAGGGTAAATTTTGTCTTCTATTGCAAGAGAACGGATTGCAGTTGACGTAGATGAATGCATCGAACACAATCGACCTAAAAGGCGCTAGACGTTAGACGAAGATTGGCGCTAAACGTTAAGATGTTAAAAGTCATGTCATACGGTTAAAGGAACGGGCATCTGCCATCTTGTAAAAACTGACATGGACTAGGCTCCAGAGGGGAGCTGCTAAATATAATGTTTCTCGAGGAAACAGTGAAAACTAGACCTCAGAAGTCAGAATAAAATTTAAACTTTCTTAGACGCTTACCTGTTATAAAAACGGCTTTTCCTTGTAGATCGGACATCACTTCTCGCGGCATAAAGTGCCGCAGGGTATCCATGGCAACGGAGGTGAGTATGAGCGCCGTCACTACGACAGCGACCTCCTGAATCCAGCCGGTGAGGGCCGTGAGACGCAGCAGGCCGTATATGGCGGACAGCACGCCGACATACAGCGCCACCTTTAACGAGGTCATGGCTGCGGTGGGCGGTCACAGAGGACAGCACCTTCTCAACGGCGGGCGGCCGCCGCGGTCGACTACAGATGGCAGCAGTGGGGAATGATATCCTCTGGTCCTTGCAAAGGCCTGAAAAGAAGACGCACCGCCAGTTAGACAGCGCAGATGACCGCGGTGTTTTTCGGCAGCATTTTGTCAACTTATAGCTTACCAAGAGCAAAAAGACCAACGCCGAAATATAGGTACATACCTATTTATGACACTTATTTTTGTGTTTAAGAGCGAGCGATTGTGTAGGTACTGTAAATGTATTGGGAGTGGATTGGTCACTGAACAGCCACCATAACCGCCTTACCGTTCCCTGCTTCTATCCTCAGGATGCTGAAATCCTTCTCCTCCACACCGCCACCCCTTTCCGGGCTGGACAGGCAACTTTATCTCATGCGGGCTGCTCCCTTGGAGCGGCACCGCTGCTCCCGAGGGAGCGCACCCCGTAGCCGGGTGCAGTGAGTGCCTTGGGGCTGGGTGGCCTGTCTTCGGACGGGTTCAGCCCCGGCGACTCACTAGGGTGTCTGCCCAGACCAATGTCTCCCCCTATATCCTATCATCCTCCCGGCTCTGAAATGGTCTTAACCCGCGCCCTGCTGGGGGGGGGGGGTGTTTGAACACCCCCCCTTGTGGTTTTTCGCGAATATCTCAAAAACGGCGGCGCGGAGCGCCGCCGTTTTTGGTACACCTTATCATACATCAATTATACACATGTTGTGAGAATTTCAGACCAAGGTCATTCAAGGTCAGGTCACCAGGTCACTTGAAGTGACCTCACCTCATAAAAAGTTTCAATGTCTGTCATAGCTACACCGAGTGACCGATCGCTTTGAAACTTTCAGCGATTGCTAAGAGCAATAGCATGTACAAAATGTATATCTCAGAATTTTGATATCGATGACCTAAGGTCAGGTCAGTTTTGCGACCTCCCCATTATAAGTCAATGGGAGAAAATTGAAATGCGCCTCTTTTGGACGAAAGACATTATAAACACTCCCAAACACTGAATTACAAGTGGTTTAGACACACTGAACATGAAAATGGTGTCCGTGACCCCTGTTTATGCCCTGAGGTCATCTTAGGTCACGAATGGTATCTAACAGTTTTTCGCAAATAACTTTTGATAGAGGCATGCTAGAGCGATGAAAACGCCTTAGATGTGTTCAGCTCGACGATACGGATCGACTGATATGCAACATGACCCTTTCCGGTCAGGTCATGACCTTGACCTGAGGTCAAATTTTCAAGTTGACCTTTCAAGGTCAAGTTATAGTTCATTCGATGCGTCTTGACGAGAGGAACACGATGCCGGTAAAAGTAAGCTCGTACAAGGCTTGGGTCAAAAGTTATTGCAGAAAAACTGTTTCCGAAAAAATCGGCTATTTTTGCAGTTTTTGCCCCCTGCAGGCAAAACCGTTGACGTTAGGTCAAATCTGAGAGGATTACTCAGAAAGGGCGTTAATAGGGCTATCGAATGCGCTTTTCCGCGGCGCTGTAGCTCTATTGGTTCCCGAGTTATGCGTTGGCTTCTTGGAAATTGTCGACATTCGACCTGGAAATCGGCGAAATTTTGCCTTCAATGACCTCTGGTGACCTGACCTTTGACCTGACCAAAAAATTGACCGAAGTGATTTCCTCATTATTTTTGACGCTCTTTCGAACGCCGCCTTCCGCGTATCGCTACGTGGCCCAGGAGCCGAGTTAGAAGGGGGGGTGTTCAAACACCCCCCCCCCAGCAGGGCGTGGAAATCCAGGACCCCCAGCAGGGCGCGGGTTAATGGACCGAAAGGGCCTAACCTAACAAAACAAACAAACAAACAGATAACCGCCTCGACTGAGGACAAGTCTAAACAGCGAAACACTCGGGTTCGTTCCTCACGAACTACCGCAATGATAAATGTTCAGACGTAAGTACTGACTGAAGTAGAAACAGGATACTTCTGAGGTCGGCGCAGAGTCGCGAGTGAGATAACACTCGCGGATAGCGTCAATTCAGCTCGGTGAAGTGGTTCCCAGATAGGTTCCGCATGAACACTGTATGAAACGCGTCCGAATTGTAAGAATATAAGAAGTACGAACCAAAGGCGACGGACGGATCGTCAAAAATATTGGTACTATATCGTTCATATCCATATACAGTATACAAAATGCAGACATTCAAATATAACCGTGCGCTTAATGGATAAAAACATATGGGGATGGATACTTGTTAGCGCGCATATGTGCATCTGCACGCATGCATTATTAGGGGCTGTATATAATTGTACCCCGATCGAACAGAACTCTGATTCGGGCTCGGCTTTTTAGCTTGACCTTACATCGGCTTTTTTAAGAATGCTTCTTATGCCTACTCATAAGGGTCTTTTTACGTACCTTATTCGTAAAGAAGATATGGTGACTCATGCAATTAGGAAGTATTTGAACTCAAAATCAAGCCGAAGACACTTATAGCACTGCATCAACATGATGATTGGAGTATTCCAGTGCTATCTACTAGTACATATATAAATTGTGTTGTCGGTCCGACTCGGCATCATTCCTCAAAAGGTGCCTGGTGGTGGAGACATATTAAGAAATTCATTTTCTTGAAGGGCCCGCAGACTCGTATGACCCAAATGTCTCCGCACGTGTACTGGTCGGTAAATTCAATTATGGTGATTTGTGTCACAAATAAGGGCACTCCTCGACCTCGACCAATGTCTGTACCCGCATAACTTCCACGTTACCCAATAGTCAATACCGCTATGACTCTAAGGCCAGTTAGTGGGTCCGTTTTCAACACATTGTTGCGTTGGGCATTGGCGACCATCCTAAAGCTTTTACATCTTACCGATGTTTCGGATGTTTCTCCTCCGAATCTTATGATCCGTAAAATATAACCTGGATCAGCACCCTAGAATTTCTGCTGATGCAGTGACAATGATCACCGCCAAAGCTCCGAGCACACATGCCTCGGCTCTCAGGAAGCAGCACGACCGCCCACTCCACTCAACCCTGTTGGCTGTTGAGTTGGAAAGCGCTCGTCACTGCCCCTTCCCCCACCCCACCCCCCAACCTCTTCCGCTTACATTCCTCTCACAGAGGAGCGTCATGAAACGACAAATCAAACAGCCTTGAAACGTCCAACAAGGTGATGCAGGGAAATTGGTTTATTGATAAAGAGCGCCTACACATTTAGCATTGACTTTGAACAGCTGAGAGTCGCCAGAAGGTACTCACCCTTACTGACGAATAATCACGGAGCCCTAAAGAAGAAATTGGGTTAACGTCACTTACAGACGCCTGTGTTCATTTGTGAATGAAGTAGCATTTTTCAGGTATGCATGTGTAGGAACAGGTAAAACGGATCAGAGAGGATCGAAGCGAACCGTCTCGTTGAACACCCGTTTAGCACTGATTTCTTTAATGGGGTCAATAGGGGTCAAATGCGGTTACACAGCAACGGCACGTGGCCTTGCGACATTAAAACTTCCATCGAAAGCTCTATCGAGGTCCCCCTTATTCATTTTTCTTTGTTGTTGTTTTAGGGCTTTGAACTTCGCATATCTAGCTCCTAGGACGATTAAAAAATGTTCTTCTCCCTCCGACAAGCATTCGCGTTAAAGGTAATGGATTATGTTATTTGAAAATGACATACGGGTCAGCAATGACCAATTCGAGCACGAGTCCGAGCTAGCAGTCGCCTCTGAAATTCATATTCACGGCTTTAAACTAATTTTGTTATTTTTGATGTCCACAAGCCCGCAGTAGCTCCGAACTCCGCCATAATTAATTGGACCGAAGGTCATTTCGCCGCCGCCTGACCATTAGCCCATCAGACACCCAGCTCATTGGCGTCGAATGATCTGCGAGTGGCTGGCGATCAAACCCATCAGAACCTGTTCAGTTCACCGAGGACACTCATTCCACGGACCTACCATAACGACAGTAAACATTTTATTGGCACCGTGACCCTGGGTTCGTGTTCCCAGTGCACCGTCATTTACCGACGAGTTTCTGCACATTCTGGACCGAGACAGACCACGTGAACCCGCCTTTAGTGAACCAAACACCCACCAACCGACGGCTGTGAAAACAGCCGGTACGAACACAGCCGTATGACTGATCCGAGTGTGGCTTAGGTAGAGTAGGCCGAACGCCCGAGTACTGTCCGAACTCGTGCACATAACTATCTGAGCACTGAATGCCGTTACTGATGGCACCGAATAACCGGGTCGAAATCGTAATTGGCTAATGGCCTTTGGAAGACAATTGGATTAAACGCGCCCAGTTATTGCCATTAAAAACAGATTTGTAAACACTGAGAAATTTAGGGAGAGAATCGTAACCAACGATGTCGGCTCTTCTTTCTTAACCTGCGCCCCGTAGGTAGGGCTATCGGCGGACCCTACCACCCGTAGGGGGGGGGGGGGCGTTTCGGCCCCCCTAAGATCTCGGAAATTTACCGGCCGATTTTCACAATTCAAACGGCGTTCGATAGCCCCTCCGAGGAACTACCTTGTGACCAAATTTCATTGACCTAGGTCAAACCGATGACGTCACAGGTCAGGTCAAAGGTCGGATTTTCACCGTTCACAGGCATTTCAAGAAATGTGTTGTGAAATCGAGTAAATTGGTAATTTATTGAAAACCATCGATGGTACATTGTTCGTCAAACACATACTTTGCTATCGGAGGTTACTGATACCAGGTCAGATCACAGCGAGGTCAGGTCACCGGGGGTCACAATATGAAAGTGTCGTGTGATACATGTTTTATGGTCCATTTTACATGACAAATGCGATTATGTGGGTTAGGCAGCCTTTGGGGCCAGCCTAGGTCACGTTTTGGTGAAGGTCAGGTCAAGGTCAGGTCAAATTAGGTCAAATTTCAAAGTTGATATGTTTGCATAAAATGGGTATCGATTCGATGCAGCTCGTCACGGGGAGTCTAATGATGGTCTTTGTTTTTCTCTACGAGGTCTAGAATTGCCAAAAATTGAGTTTGAAAATTTGACGTCATCATTTTTGAAGTTTTTTCGCTATAACTTGGCCAAAAAAACGAGGTATGGATCTGAAATTTGGTATGTAGATATTTCTGATGACGATGACGGTAGGTACTATCACATGTATTCCGGTTTTTTCGAAACTCAAAAAACTTTTTGGATTTTTGGCTAATATATAAAAAATGCTTTTTTGATTTGTGGGGTCAAACCTCAAAAATTTCCAAAATCCGAGATGGCAGTTTTGTAGCCCTGTCAATTTTTCACCTTTTATGTTTGATCATTTTTCTGTATCTTTAAAGCTGTAGGCCTGACAGGTCTTCTCGCGAAGGTCTTTTTTCGGTCGAAAATGACAAAACATTACGTCATTCTGACGTCATTTGTGGCCAACCTATCATAGCCTCTGGAAAATTTGGTCACAATGTGTAAAATTGATGGCCGGAGGGGTCCTGAAAGTTTGGTGGCGATATCTCCAGCCGTTTAGGAGATATCGACGGAAAAGGACAGGGGCCCTACGGGGCGCGGGTTAATCATTGCATTGCCTTGCTGTGGAGCACATGTCGGTCCTCCTATCGCACATTGTGCATATCATAGGACCATTTCCAGTACCTAAACGAGGGTAGTAGACGGATCCCGTGTATAAGGCGTGGGCAATCCCGTGTAAGGTCAGACGGCGTGGGCACTGCAGGCAGCTCTGCACGCTGTGAGAAAACTATATGCACGAGAGCGACGTAATGTGCAGCGTTGCAGAGGTGAAGGCGGTGAAGCAACAGATAAACAGAAATTGAAGCGCAGATAGACTGGTGCGGTACACGGGAGGAGAAACGACGGCTATCCGTTCACCTTGCGTATTCACGAAATGCGTATGCCTAATGACTATTATGCACAATGCGTTTAATTATAAAATTATCATTTCGTGGCATGGCATGCCGATATGCAGGGGTGTAGCTTACAGTTACAGATGAGCAGGACCGCGAACTTTGATGAGGCACTATGTGAAAACGTCATCCCTTTTTAGGCAGCTTCAACCGAATACACTCACTAAGCCACTGAGCTACAGACAATGTGGAAACAATAAAAGCTGAAGCTCTTAAAGGTAGTGTGCCACCTTTGAAAGATTTCCCATTTTATTTTTCCTAGGATAAGAAGCTTCTGTTTTTACCTAATATCGCAAAAAAAAAATCAAAAAATGGGCCTGGAATAGTGCCTTTTTCGCCTAAAAGTTTATCGGTTTTTCGATATGTATAACAACTGTAGTGGGCTCACCTGCAAACAGGCGTCGCCAACAATCGCGAATGCGGCGCACATGTGACAATAAGCAAAGGTCATTATAGTGTTACGACGTACGGGAATGAGTTATCAGCTGTCTAATCGTAGACAACACAATGTCGAGCCTTAAACTGTAAGCCTGTATTGGTATTGTTTCTTTTATTTGGCTATCGAACATTATTTATGGTTTGAAATATGATTTTATGTAAAATAATTGATATGAAAAAGCCGTCTCATAAGTTATGACCCCATTTCACCACACGCAAGTGGCAGAAATGACAATGATCAGCTGACGCATTTTTCTTGGCCGAAGTCAGAGCGCGCAGCCCGACGCACCACCACCGCACCACAAAGTATGAGCAGAAGCCGCGCCCAAAGCCAGGGCCCCGGTAACGTGAGGTAGCCGAGTCGGGGCAGCGTGCGCTGACCCAAGCCGGGGCCGCAGCTTTGGGCGCGGTCTACCGCATCCCCGCGGGCAGCCCCGGGCTATCACATGACACCGGGAGGACGCGCGGCTCCGGCTTGGGTCAGCGCACGCTGCCCTGACTCGGCTACCTCACGTTACCGGGGCCCTGGCTTTGGGCGCGGTCTACCGCACCACCTAACAGGCGTGTTCGAAACCGCAGGAGCTGATGATGAACGGGTTTATCGAAACTTGATTGGCTGAGCATATCGGTAATAGCGATTTCAGTGTGTGCATTTATTGTTCATAGTGGTGTGAAATGTGGTTGGGGTACGACCGACAACCCGTCGGGGCGAATTTCGCACTGGGGTACTCAAAACTTGAAGAATTTAAGACGTTTCCATGAGTTTTGAAGGTATGGATAAGTTCTAAAAATCCGGTTCTCCTTATCTGGGCCATTAACTCCATACGGTCCAGGAAAGCTGGCACACTACCTTTAACCCTCGCCCTGGCAGGGCATTTTTCATAACACGGCCTGGCAGGGGGGGGGGGGGTCGATGCGACCCCCCCCCCTCGCGATTGGCTCCTATGGCACCTAGAAACACCAAATTTGGTAGGTAGGTCGGCCCCCTGGAGTTCTCGCTCCTGTGCAAATTTGGTTGCTCTAGGTCAATATTTAGGGGGGTTTTGGGGGGTATAAATGTAAAAATTTCGCTAAAAACAGGTCAAAAGTTTTTCGCTTATAACTTTTGATCTAATTAAGATAGAGCAAAACGAAAAGCACCAGTGAACTCAGCACGTCAAGGCGCGTCGAATGATATACGTTTTAGCTTGCTTAAGTGTACTTAAAGTTTTTCTTAAATTTTAAGTAAACTTAAATTAATAAATTAAGTTCAAGTTAACCAAATTGCGTCATGTCGCATATCATTCGATTCGGCTGATCACTAGGAACACCATGATACCATTTTTTAAGCTCTAGCGTCATTATGTGCCAAGTTATTGGCAAAAACGTCATTTGACCTCAGTTGACCTCATTTGACCTGACCCATGGATAAGTACACCAAACAAAGAAGTACCAAGTGACCTGCTGTTAAGCACTGTGGTTTCAAAGCACAAAAGTGATAGAACGAAGCGGGTATCTCCAGTATTTTCCGAATTTAGTATTTTCCCATAGGCTTAACATTACGACGTAATGACCTCTAACTGACCTCAGGTCAGTGACCTCAAAAAAACCCGAACTATATGTTATACAACTCGGTGAACTTAGCACATCCTGAAAGTTTGAAGGAAATCAGTCCAAAACTGTGAGTTGGACAGGTGCAAAAAGAAAATTGAAATTTGACCATGACCTTGTACCGGTTTTTCTGACCTGGTGACCTGACCCAAGGTCACCCGGACCTGCAATTTTCAGGTCATATGTAAAAAGGTTGCCCCATAGGCTGTGCCAAATTTGGCGGCGCTGCGCGCCGCCGTTTTTACGCTATCTTCGAAAAACCTTAGGGGGGGGGTCGCATCGACCCCCCCCTGCCAGGGCGAGGGTTAAGGGACCAAACTACCACGAACTACAATATGCGGCACCAGCATTCAGTGCCTCCGACCGCCCTCATTCGAGATAGCGTAGCTCCCCGAGCACTCCTCCCGTACGCGTATCACGCACTATCCAAGGTCAAGCGGCGTGGCCAGACCAGTCACGTGACACGTCTGAGTGGGAGGGGAGGGGGAGGGGTACATTTACATTGCCATATGTCCCAGTCATGGAGCCAAGGCCATGCGTTCTCTCGTGTATGCCGAGGAGGCAAACGCAGCGCCTTCAATACACCGAGTGGGGACTTGGAGAATGACTTTACGTTCGAGGGATGTGAGGCAGCTTTCGGTAGCAGAAGGGGAGCTTTTGATGAAGTGCTGCGATGCTGAATATTGAACGGTATGCACCAAACATTCAAGGTAAGAAAACTGCCATAAACCATTTGTATGAGGACCAGCCGGGAGGCACTGCACTGCCCGTCAAAAGTTTTAATGCTACATTTAGGTGGATTTAGTCACAATTCATGAGCTGTTTGTCACGGTCCTTCTGAACTAATGGTCAGCCTGCACTTGTAATCCGTAAAGTAGGTGAGGGACGGCAGCAGCAAAATAATACAACGACTAGTAGAAATGTTTAACGAAGTGAAATATATGGATCGCCGAGCGAGACACAGACCCCTGATACGATACGGCACACAGACGTCTAAATTGATGGATAATTCAGACGATAGGTATTATTATAACCGTTTTCACGACGGGCTATCCGGCGAGTGCACCTGAATTGACCAAATCTGCACCTAATCTCTTTTACAGCAAATATTTTTATTTTACGAATTTATTTCAGTGTTTTAATCGATCATGCTCTCTGATAACATGACAAAGCAGGCATATAAGCAATTAGTGCAACCTTAGCTGATAGCTGCTAAGAGACACGCTGAACCTGATTTGACCAAATCTGCACCTGATCTGTACCAGATGTGCACCAAATGTGTACCAGATGGCCGTCGTGAACAGTGGCGGATCCGGGGGGGGGGGGGGGGCAAAATGGGCATTTGCGACTACCGAAGATGCATAATGCGTAGACCTTCTACACTCACATGGGCCAACCTTCCACTAAATGGGTGCCCGGTACACGCAAACACGCAGTAATATCACCGTGATAGCCTTATCCAAATCCGCGGCTGGTTTTACGTCATCTGATACCATCAGTCAATACGGCGCTGATAGTGATGTCGGTGATAATCACTGTATGCCTCGCTAATTGGCTCAAATTGGGATGTGTGACGTTCGGAGTGGCGACGGCATGCCGGTCAGGTAGGCGTGTTGGACGGTAGTGATCAATTTGGGATAGGTTGACTGTTTAGTCGTAAACGCTGGGCATTTTGGGAAATTTTTGAAACACATTTATTGGATCGGCTTGAACCCCTAAACGTACATAGGTGAATCCAGAACACCTTCTCGGACGCTGCCGGGGGGAATTTCCCTGAAATAAGTTTCTTCAAAATTCAAATTCGAAAAAAAGCTCCTCGTATTTCATTCCTTGTGAACTGTTGTACAGTTTAAAACAAACTTTTCGCAAATGAAGCACCAAAGCGCTCGCGTTCATTTATCGGAGCCCGTGACATCAGCTTGACTGTAAGCATTGTCATACGTTAACTGACGGTGGCGAGAGACCAATGTTGGTGCAGTCGATCAAAACTGGTCGGCAGTTTGAGGGCCGTAACTCCTCTATAAAAACACACAAACCGTCGTGAAGAACGACAGAACGAATGGAGAATAACCACTGAGAAAAGGGAAAGCACGGGATTCGGCAGCTCCTTTAGCGCAGATTGAGTTGTCAGTATGTGTGCATGTTAGCATATGTTAAAATTGGCGATGTTGCCGATGTTGGAGCCGAGCAATCAAGGTGTTCCTTTTCCACCGTGCTTATCCCACAGGACATTCTTATTCAGAACTCTTGAAACTGGAAAAACTCAAAAGCGGTAGCGAAGCAGGTATTAAAGCACCTAAATAAATAGGACGTTAGACATCTTCATCTATCGTACAATTACACATCGACAGCCCCCCAGGCCCAAGTAACTCTCGCCACATGTCACTTACCGTGTTATTCCGCCTTTGGCCGCCCACTGCACCGTTCACGATCTGTTGGTCCACCGTATGCGTCCACCACTGACACACTGCCGTGGTACGCCGTAGGTCCCGCGGCTCCTTACGGGCCCCGCTGGCCAGACACAGCCCGCCCGACTGCCAGGGCGGCCGGCCCGAGTTCGCGGCCCCTCCCCCTCCCCCGACCGTCAGCTGACTGGGGGGGGGGGGGGGGCGGGGTCCGCAGAGAGTCAGGTAAGGAGAGATAGGCGCACGGGCGGATGTAGCAACAGGAAGTAGGGAGGCGGAGATAGGGACAAATGGGAGGTGTAGGTATGCCTCAAAACTCGAGTGAATAAATCATGCATGCCGGCTGATACGGTAAACCAAATACGGGAAAACCCAATCACTTCCCTTTGATTGATGTAGATGTAGGTATAAGGAAAAACCCCTATCGCGGGGAGGGGGGCATGAGCGCGATAAACGGTGATTTATAAAACTCACAAATGTCAAGATAGGGGAGGAACGGCAATGCTTGCAATAGAGAATCTGGAATCATCATCTTCGCAGTGGGTCAGGTTTTTCGTTTGCCCCAAACCAGAACATTGGAATGGGGAGCTGACAGGTCTCACTGGTCCTTTATTCCTATTAACGATTTGTTGTTCGGCAATAGCGCTTGCTGAAATAAATGATGTAAAATTTAAAATATTCACCATGTAGCGGTCGCACGAATGACAAGGATACATACTAACTCTCCCAGGATTCAGCTGAGTCCAAGCCTCGCCTTCGCCTTTCTCTGTGTAACCGCTGACCACGTTCGACAATATAAAGGCGTCTGGTTTCTCGCTACCACTCAACCTGCATCATATTCGAACCAGAGCTCCGGTATGTTCCGCTCGTGGTTAGTGGCACATGTGAATCGGATCCCGGAAACGTCCACAAGTCATGTAGGGTTCCAAGGTTCGAAAGCTGGAGTCTAAATGCGCAGATAGGCTGGAGAGTGGAGGTTCTAACTCTGTTGAGTAGAGTGAGCCGTAACGTAAGGTAACATCGTCGGGCCGTCCGACGTTCCGAGGCCATTGCTTGAAATTACTGTCATAAATCCACGGATCATCGCCCTAATCTCATGAATTCACTCCACTGACCGGCTCAATTGCAGACGTACAAAGCCATGGAGTCTTCTACCTATTCTCCCAGTCTGATCGGCGACCCTACCGCAGCATTCACCAGAGAAGAATTAGCAGACCAAGGTTCAGCTGATTGAGGTGAGGAATGGAACATTAATGCCGAAGAAACGTTTATGATCTAAATTCGGGCCGTGATTTAGATAGGTATTACTCCCAAAGCCACGCTGCCAGTTGTAGACGTGTTATCGGGTCCTTCTGGGGCTCGAATTCCACTATAGCGCTCAGCCAGAAAAATGATTGAGTGACCGTGCATGAAACACGGAAGTCGGAACAGCAAATAACAACGTGTGAATGGCATCGGATGTAAAAGGGCCAGTCAATAAAAAAGTGAACTTAAGTTTGACATGATCGTATCGAGCTCAAATCGTAGGTCAAGCCTTGATTTTCACAAGTATTTAGTTACTACCCACGAAACCAAAACCCTGGGCCCGCCCATGTCACCACCCTAAGACGTCCCCTGTATCCACGCCTGTGCTCCCAGCACGCGCCGGCAGCAGCCAAGTCGCTCCTGGCCAATGAGCGGCGGCCCTGACCTCCATCTCTCGCCCGGCGCACAATGAAGACTGGAGAACCCCCGCAGCCGGTGCAGTGGTGGGTACTCCGAAGATGTGGTGGGTACTAGGAGTGAAATGGGTGCAGAGAAAGAATGAGTTCTCGGATCTACAATAAGAGGAGCCTGTTGACGGACTGGGTCAGGGGAACAGCAAACCACATCTGACGCCCAGGGCATAGTCATGAGATATACCACGTCTTGGATCGCTATCGTGGTGTTTCACCGGTGATAGAAGCACGCTGCTATTACACGTGTCAAACTGGGTTTCCATGGAGACGTCAACAAGCCCATTGTTCCAGCACTACCACAAGTGTGACGTCAGCTCGCGAAATGGAATAGTGCAGCGTGCTGCTATCACCGGTGAAACACCACCTATACGATATACATCCAGCACATGACCAGGGCCCTGTTTCACGGCCGACGCTGCTAGCACACGTGTCAAACTGGGTTTCCATGGAGACGTCAACCAACTCCTATCTCCAACACTGCCACATTCTGTGACGTCAGCTCGCGAAAAGTGATAGCAGCGTCCAGTGAAACACCGCCCAGTCTTTCCCACCTCTTCAGATAAGTATCCTTTCCACTATACTCACAAACCCCAGTAACCGCGGTAGAAGTTCGTAAAACGACGAGACTATGATCCGTCTGAGGCAAAGCATCCATTACCCAGTGCGAGTTACTAACTCGAAATAATCGCAACTCGTCGGAGCTCGGATTAACGGCTAGTCAGACACCTAGCCGCACAACTTCTGACGTCACTAAATCGAACTTGGAAGGCTTGCCAATTATTGAAAGCCGTAAACGTATGAAGAATTCATTGGCAGTTTGAGACAACAGCTATGTTACAACAAAAACCTGTCATGAAACAATTATATTTTCACCAGCTTTCACAGATAACAGTAGCATCTGCCCATCTGGCAACTACTTTACTTGGCAACTCCCAACCTCTGTTCTCTCAGTACAGCGCAGTGCAAGCGCATACGTACCCTTCAAAACAAGCCGCACAAAACAACCAGCACAAGTAAACGACGCAAAATGAAATGAGTTGACTGACAAAATACAATGTCACGAAACAATCGGCAATAAATGCCAAAATCAACCTATTTATCGACAAAACAAAAGCACAACTCAAATTGATTCGAAAAGCGGACAATGGCTTCCATTTAACATTCCCGCTTCGAAAAACACAACCTTTGTACTTCGGACATATCGTACAAAATCACTTATTCTCGGCGTTTGATACAGAACATATCAAAACCAACAGCCTCACTATCAAATCTCTATGAACCTCCAGAGCTACCACTTGACTGGGAGATTGTTCAGCCTGCGTGCTTTGCCGGTTGCCTTGCAACACGCCGGCGAACCTACAGCGTAGAACACGTTTTACTCATCTCGAGCGACCAAGAGACTGGGCCAGGGCAGTGACCAAGTGGCAGTGAATGGGTGTAACAATGGCTAGATGACGGCAGGACATTGACGTCATATGACGCGGAACGTCACGTCAGTACGCCGTAGTGTAACTGTTAGCTCAGTGGAATGGGTGTCCGATTGGCAGCACCTGACGGCCGCCATTAACGGAGCCGCCGTACGGTATCTAGGATACAGGGACGCGCGGATTTCAATCCATGTAGACTTGTCAAAAACCTGCCCTATCCAGCAGTACCTACAAATGTACACTAAACCACTGTACAAATGTAACACGCTACACCGACTATTCAGCCTCATCTGAACACAGGCGTTAGCTGCATAGCTCGTTTAAACCGCCGGTCACCGGGTCCCGAGTAAACCCCACCCGTCCAGCAGTGTGGCAATGTGTTCCCCGCCTCAGTAACCGCACCACGTCCTGTGCACGGCCTCAGGAGGGCGGCAGGGTCTCCCTCTGCTCCTACAGCTCGGCGGCCAGCTCCACACAGTCCAGCTGGTCCTTTCTCTCGGTGTAGATGTGGGACGGGACGCCTCCTGGCTCCTATATGGAGTCGGCCAGCTCGACACAGTCCAGCTGGTCCTTGGTCTCCGTGTAGAGGTGGCAGGCTCTCCCTCTGTACCTATATGGAGTCGGCCAGCTCGACACATTCCAGCTGGTCCTTGATCTCGGTGTAGAGGTGGCAGGCTCTCCCTCTGTACCTATATGGAGTCGGCCGGCTCGACACAGTCCAGCTGGTCCTTGATCTCGGTGTAGAGGTGGCCGCCTCTCCCTCTGTACCTATATGGAGTCGGCCAGCTCCACACAGTCCAGCTGGTCCTTGATCTCTGTGTAGAGGTGGGACGGGACGCCTCCTATATTGAGTCGGCCAGCTCTACACAGTCCAGCTGGTCCTTGATCTCGGTGTAGAGCCGCTGCAGACTGAGGTGGGACACCAGCAGAGGCAGCAGCTGCCGACACAGACGCGCCGGCATAGGGTCAGCGGCGAGACAGATATGTACACACAGCGATTGTGGCTTGATAACGCACAGTCATCGGAATACGGAAATACGGTACAGACCTCATGGCACCCGTGTGACCTCGTTCGAAATATCTGGTACTTATCAGTCAAGCTGCGGAACCATTTACAAGACCACGCATTTTCCATGTTACACCTTTCATGGGGCTACTAAAATCGAGGCACTTGAGTTTCATCGAAATACATAACTGAAATGACGCAAGCGAGGGCAACAAACCACCCAAATGCAAGCAAGGACGATAACAGTCCGAAAAAGGCGTAAGGTCTCCACTGGCGGTCGCAGCCGCTAGCAAAAGGGGGGGGGGGGCCAAAGTCATACTCGCGGGACATAACATTTATCAGTCACCGGAGGGGGGGGGGGGGGGTGATCGGCTAATTTTTTACGTCCACGAGGCGCCGCGCAGTTGGCATTACTTATGCTTCATCCACCTCATTCTTGCGTGAAATCTTTAAGCTCAATTTAAGGCAAAAGCACCAGTTCCATTTCCCGTCCCACGGTGTTTCCACAGGTCGGGCAACTGCACCATGGCGACGGATCGGTGTAGCATATACTGGAAGGTCGGGCACGCGGATTCATGACCTTACCACAATAAAACAATTCGGAAAAGTACGGATACCTCTGGATTTGAACAAGCATGTGAAACCCAGAGAGCATTTTCAGACTATGACATTTACCCATATAGATGTGTAGCGGCGGGAGAAAGTAGGTACACCGACCTCTGGAGACCCCCGGCCCCACAGGTTCCTGGTTTTCAAAATTGGCATCTGAGGGCCGCGCGCGACTCGCGCGGGGCCTCGCAACGGCTCTATTGGGACTCACTCAACCTGCCTTATAGTCCTACTGCTAAAAAGACTGTCCCTGAGCCCTAAGGACTTAATCAGTCTCTGCCAGCCCCAGGACCCACACCGGCTCATGGGGTCCCGACGTCGAAATATTAAGGAATCTACGCGGGACCATCAGGACGTAAAGTAATCTCGATCAGGACCAACTTACGGCTGTGCAGGAGTCTGCGTGAGCCCTGTGATCTTCAGAAGCCCACCCATGTATGTTTTTACTTAGAGGCCAGTTTAGGGCCCTCAGAGACCAGTACAGGGCCTGCAAACTGCAAAGGCCAGTAGTTTGAGACCATCAGAGACCGAGTTGGGCTCTCAGAGGCTTATGTCCTACTCATTACAGGCCAACATGGGGCCCTCAGAGGTCAGCGTGGGGCCCTAAAAGACCGGAATGAGCCGTCGTTGGAACCCAGAGGCCAGCAGAGGGCCCTCAAAGGCCAAGATGAGCCCTCCTCAGAGGCCAATGCAGGCCCTTAGAGGCCAGCGTCGGGTCTTCAGCAGCCAATGCGGGGCCCTCATTGGCACCTAAATGTTCGTCTTGGGGCACCAGAGACAGCAATAAGGTCACTAGAGACCAGTGTGAGACCCTCAGACGCCGGTTGGGGCCCCTGAGGCCGGTTAGGGGTCCTCATAGGTCAGATGTGGGGCCTCAGAGGTCGATATGGGCTCTTAGCGGTCAACGTGGGCGCTTGACCGCCACTGAAGTTCCCTCAGAGGTCAGTGTTGGACGATCAAAGACCGGTGTGGGAGCTATATTAATAGCTGGGCGTGTTTTTTTTTTAGCCTCGTGACGATCGAATCAGGGCCAGGGTCCCATACACCTATCGGGGGGCCCATCGCTTGCTTGAGGGGGGGGCAAATGATATGATGGCCCCCTTTATGTGCCTTGGGGGGGGGGGGGCATGGCCCTGATGCCCCCCGCGACCGCCACTGTGTATGTACACATTACATGCATACAGGCCTCTGAAATTGCATACTAGCTAATGCAAACTCTATGCAGGCCCCGGAGATTCCACACTAATCCTTCAGAAACCAAGCCGGCATACGGCGTCACCACCGGGCTTCTGAGGTGCACCGCACCAACCCATGAGGTCTTACTTTACAGGGTGTCCGGATAGTTCTGGCGCTTTTCAACATTTTCTAAAACAAATGCCATTGGTTCATAGATACTAATCAATGGATCAAAACAATGACCAGGGACACCAAGCCACATGCTTCCGCTACGTGCTCATTCAATGTAACCACCGTCGGCGCCGACGACGGCCTCGACGTAGGGGAGGAAGCGTCTGCGGGTTTTGACGATGCGGGGCATTTCCAGGTCCTCCCATGCTGTCATGATGCGAGTCTTCAGCGACTCCAGGTTGGGGTGAGAAATGGCCTAGATCCTGTTCTACAAAACGCGTAGCACGCCTTAGTCGAGCGGGTCAGGTTAGGAGAATAAGGCGGCCTAATCTCATTTCGCCACGGTGATCTGGCCCGGCAAGCTCCTCTGTCAGTTTAGCTTGAATGGCGGCGGCGTTGTTGGAGGGTGCTCTGTGCTGTTGAAATGCGAAGTGACCCTTAGGGCATGTCGTCTTGACCCTCGGGTTGATGTGGCTGTCCAGGAACCCCTCGTGGGCCAGCCTGTTATTCATTTATTCGACATTGACGAAGATGATGGGACATTTTTGTCCATCAGACCCCCGCACTTTCTTCGATTGCCGCGTTGAAATGCTGCTCCGTTCCCATATCGCGTTCGAAACGGTCTGAGGATATTTTTTAAGGAATTCCCGAGTCGAAAAAAACCTTTACCTGCTAAACCATTCATCGAAAAACGTCGCATCGCGCTGCAACTCGCGCCTCGTTCAAGTCGCACCCGGCCGCCGCGCGCAGGCATTCAGCGACAAGGCGCATCTTCGCCCATCTACCCATCACTGAAAACGATTTCAAGGTCATATTTACACGACCCCTGGCTGAGCAATCAACGAGGGGTCATGTCTGTGATGATTGGCTGAATGTCCAATAATCACAGCGCGCGTTACACGGCGTCCAAAAGAAGCGCCAGGACTTTCCGGACACCCTGTAGTGTCGTAGAGCCACGCTCATTTGGCAGGGCCCACCCGCCACTGGGAAGAGGGTCTCATGCCAGCCATTGCTGGGCCTACGAGAGTCTCAAGTAAACCCACGCTGATATTCCATATAAGATCCGGCCATACTCGTGAACCGGTGCCAGCGACGCTGACCGCCAAATTGACAGAATACGAAACTGAGCCCACACATGAGTGAAATTTACGTCCTTTGATGGCGCAAGAAAGAAAATGAAACATACAAAAAGCTTTTCTAGGACTTTTGTTCGATCTGAAAGGTGGGGCCAAAAGATAGTATGGCCCCACCTTTCAGCACCAAAGGGGGGGCCATGGCCCCCGTGCCCCCCCCCCCTGGGACCGCCTATGAAGGTCTCACAAAGTGTTCTTCCGCCTATGTCAGTAAAACTTTACCCACCTCTTTGAGCAGTGTCCTGCCGTCTGTACCCACCTCTTTGAGCAGTGTCCTGCCGTCCAGTACCCACCTCTTTGAGCAGTGTCCTGCCGTCTGTACCCACCTCTTTGAGCAGTGTCCTGCCGTCTGTACCCACCTCTTTGAGCAGTGTCCTGCCGTCTGTACCCACCTCTTTGAGCAGTGTCCTGCCGTCTGTACCCACCTCTTTGAGCAGTGTCCTGCCGTCTGTACCCACCTCTTTGAGCAGTGTCCTGCCGTCCAGTACCCACCTCTTTGAGCAGTGTCCTGCCGTCTGTACCCACCTCTTTGAGCAGTGTCCTGCCGTCCAGTACCCACCTCTTTGAGCAGTGTCCTGCCGTCTGTACCCACCTCTTTGAGCAGTGTCCTGCCGTCTGTACCCACCTCTTTGAGCAGTGTCCTGCCGTCTGTACCCACCTCTTTGAGCAGTGTCCTGCCGTCTGTACCCACCTCTTTGAGCAGTGTCCTGCCGTCCCCACATCTGTCCTGTCCTCTATACCCACCTCTTTGGGCAGTTTCATGCCGTCCAGTACCCACCTCTTTGAGCAGTGTCCTGCCGTCCCTCTTTACCCACCTCTTTGAGCAGTGTCCTGCCGTCCAGCCCCAGCTCAGCGGTCGGACTGGCGCTGAGGCTGGCGCCGGAGTGGGCCGGCCCCAGTAGCCGCTCGCAGAGGTCCCTCAGCCGAGCCTCGTCCCCGCAGGAGGCCAGCTGACGGAACAGAGCCGCCAGCCACAGCGAGTACTCGCCCGGTGAGCCCAGGGCCACCGCAGCGGCCACCTGTTAGAGGTCAGGTCACGGGTCAGAGGTCAGGTCAGAGGTCAGGTCATAGGCCAGAGCGAGTTTCGCCCGGCGAGCCGAGAGCCACCGCAGCTGCCATCTGGGGTCAGGTCACGGGTCAGAGGTTACAGTGAGTACTCCCCTAGGGAACCAAGAGCCACCGCAGCTGCCACCCGGGGTCAGAGTGGGTGAGAGGCCGAATGCAAAATAACACGAGCTACGGGATAAGGGATAAAAAACCCGCAAGATTAGTAAAGCTTAGATGTGTGAGACAGAGTCGAAGGCATAGTATACCTGCAGATGCGGGATGATTACATAAGAAAAAAATAGCATTGTTTCCACACGCAGGATTGTTCCCACATAACACCACCCGCCAAGGCAATTCATATCGCCATCTCAAGTACACGGACGTACCTGCGAATCGAGGAAGGAGGCGGCGGCGTCGGCAGCCAGCTGGGGGTCGGCGGCGGCGGCCGCCAGGGCGGGGGCGGCGGCGGGGGCGGCCGGCCGCAGCCGACGCACCTGGGCCATCAGTACAGCCAGCGCCTGACCGCTGGCAGGGGCGGCCGGCAGCTGCGGCTGCACCTCGGACAGGGCGGCGCCCGGCGCACGGCCGTCTGGGGAGAGAGCGTGTGTGAGATAAATGAGCTGTGGTGCCTCAACTACTAACTACTAGGTCATAATGAAAGTATATCACCCTAGGCATAAAAAGAGACGAACGAAGACTACTTTACGAGAGCTCGAGAACAAAAGGAGCATCGTGTACTATTATACCATCAACACACTTCTCAAGTTTCCCTCCTCAAGCAAAGATGTTCCATCCGTTTCCGACCCACTTCTGAGAGCCCATGGCCCCGATTCTCTCATCCGCTTCACTTGCCATTTCTGTCCTTCCCTCCACCACTCTCTTCCTCCCCTCACTCTCCTCCTCTCACTCTTTCCCCTCCGCCACTCACCGGTGACCAGCTGCCAGCCGGCCATGGTCTCGCTGTAGAGGTACGCCCTGCCTGAGGACACGACAAGTACCGGCCGCCCGTCCTCGGTCAGCGTACAGCCCGTCAGCCGCGCGCCGCCGCGCAGTAGATGCGCCGCCGGCTCCCGGCGCACGCGCGCCGCCACCGCGCGCACGTCCCACGTGCTCACCTCCGCGGCGCACGTGACCACCAGCACGTGCCGGCCGCGGGCGGCCACTCGCGCCACGGGCCCCGGCATGGCCAGAGGGGGCAGGAGGAGCCGGCCGGCGCGAGAGAGGCAGAGCAGCGAGCCGTCGGCAGTCCAGGCCAGGCAGCGCTCCTCGCAGCAGCGGAGAGCCACCGCCGGGGAGGAGAGCACCGTCCGCCAGCGGAACTGAGGGCGGGGGGGGGGGGGGCAGCATTCAACAGACAGCAGCGGAGAGCCACCGCAGGGGAGGAGAGCACCGTCCGCCAGCGGAACTGAGGACCGGGGGGGGGGGGGTATGTAAAATACTGCACCATCAGATCAGTACAAATGGCGAAACAGATTCAGTGACAACAAAATGAAACAGCAAGAACGCTACACAGGGCGCATTGCATTGATTGTTTCACATTTTTGCACACAGTGTACACTTCTGCTCAGTGCTCACCACAGCAGTCCCTTAAACTATGACCTTACAATGCCCCTAAAGATCCCTCTGACCCATCCCCACCGAAAGGTCAGCAGCATAAGTCGTAGATGCCCTCTGACCCGCACCTATCGGCAGGCGAGCAGAAGTCCCGGCTCTGACCGGTCCCACTACTGACCTGTGAGCTGACCCCTGTCAACAGGTCTCTGATACCTCCCTCGGACCCGTCCCCACTGTTCACCTCCGCGCCCTGCCGACAGGTCAGCAGGTGCAGTCCGGCCGTCCCGCCGTGTTCCGCCTCCAGCTGCAGTTCAGGCAGCTCGGGACCGGCGGCCGGCAGCACGGCGGTGAGTCGGCCGGCCGCCGCCAGAGGCGCTACTATCGCCCCCGGCGCTGTGTAGGTGGCGCTGACGGCGGGCGGTGGAGCCGGCGGCGGCGCCGGTGGAGGGGAGGTGTGGAGCCGCTTGGAGGCCACGCGGAGGTCGGTGCTGGCTCGCCGCTTGACCTGAGGGACGAGGGTCGTAATAGGTCACAGCAAACGACCAATGCAAAGCTCCTGGCTATCGCCAGAGCAGACAACCTAAAAATTTACGTTGAAGCTGTACATTTTTTTTTTTTTAGAACACCGACAGTGGTATTCAAACAATGTTTGCAACTGTTGGTTTCCAACTATTTCATATTTTCATTATGCATGACTTAAATTAAGGTCCTATCGAAATCTCAAGTCAGGACTGCCATTGTAGGACGTCTTCCGTATCATTAAAATCCACCGTGTCAGCCCCTTACTACGGCTAACACTGCGCCCCTACAATCACTCCCACATCCCCATCCGTCCCCTCAGCGCGCTCACCGCTATGGAGGCGGCCTCTGCCGCCGCCGCCGTCGCCGCCGGTGGTGGCGGGGTCGCCTCGACGGCAGCTGGTGCTGCGCTCAGCTGACTGCGGCTCTCCGATACCTGGGCAGAGCGGAGAGAGAGTGAGGGGTGAGCGTGAGGCTGGGAGAGAAGGATACATGATACGGCGAAGAATAACGGGATAACACGTTAACACGAGCTCGCGATCTCGTGATATTGAGAGGAATGCGTGATGCTGTAAAGCGGCATGTGATACGGAGAAAGGGATAGTTGACAATGCAAGAGATGGAGAATGTCCGTAATACAAGGAGGGACGTCAAACATATGCCATTTAAAGGGAACGCCTATGATTCCCGCACATGTCGTACAAAGATGAGCTTCAAACTCAGACTAAAAAAAAAAAACATTCATTTACAGTCAAGGTAATATCGTAGCTAAGAATCATAAATCAAAAGGAACTCATTTTGCTGATTTCACTTTCAGTGCAGCGATTCTGTCGTCTGTCTCTCCATAACTGCGGAGTGACTACTGTATCCAGCCTCGACGTCTTCCAAAGTGGCGGCGGCTCCAGCTCTCCCTCCCCCTCTCTCTCTCTCTCTCTCTCTCTCTCTCTCTCTCTCTCTCTCTCTCTCTCTCTCTCTCTCTCTCTCTCTCTCTCTCTCTCTCTCTCTCTCTCTCTCTCCCTCTCTCTCTCTCCGTACCTGGGGTGTAACCACCGTATCCAGCCTCTCGACCTCCACAGTGGCGGCGGCTCCTCTCCATCCCCCCCTCTCTCTCTCTCTCCTTACCTGGGGTGTAACCACTGTATCCAGTCTCTCGACCTCCACAGTGGCGGCGGCTCCGGTCGAGCTGGTGAACGGGAGCTCCTCGGAGCCAGAGAACCGAGACGCCAGATCCGGGGTCACCTCTGGGGGAGAGAGTTAGGGGACCGCTCTGAATAAGTGGCAGTGTGAGCATGGGAAACACCGTACGAAAGAAAAACAAGTATGACCACAGAAGATAGAAGCGTGCGGTAGTACGTTTCGCCTGTCTTTACTACGCCAACAGAACCCACGAAGCTGGGCGATATTTATAACATCAATGAATGCAGCTCATGTCTGAACACGTTTAAATTTTACAGCCTTTGCCTAGCTTGTTTGAAATTGAGAATCATGTGCGACAATGGATTACGTTCTCACGACAAAGCCGAGGGTCGTTGATTTGAAAGCCCCACTATTTCCCACCTACCTTGACTGGAGACAAACATGGGCGTGATCCTCCTCTTGCCGTCGGGCGTGCGGCACTCGATCTGTTTTCGCGCACCGCCGCCAGAGGGTGTTCCGGGCGGCGCGGGCTCGCCGGCCGCCGGCTGGCGGGGCGGCTGTGAGATCCCCTGACCGGGCGGCGCGGCCGGGCGCGGCGACTGTTTCTCGGCCTGTTCCCGGACACTCAGCAGCAGCGGCGACTCGATGAGCTGAGGGGCGGCCTGCTGGCCGGGCCGGCGGCTGAGCAGCGCCGCCCGGCCGTACAGCTTCTCCCGGAGAGCGGTCCGCTCGTCAGCAGACATCGCCTCGCCCAGCTCCTCCACCGTGAAACTGAGGGAACGGGAGGGGCAGGGAGTTAACTTAGACGAGGGAAGAGGCCATGTCCAAATATGGAAGTGGTCACAGGGTCAGATTAGACCAAAGGGATCAGAAGGTCAAGCCACTAGTCAGACAGGGTTTGAAAAAAGGCCAGGTCAGACAAAATAATAAAGGGATCAGGTTCGTCAAAGAGTGGAGGACTGAGGGACTGAGAGCTTGTGCCAGTCGAAAGATGATTTATCATTTCTGTCAGGCTACTGAAAAAAAAAACAATCAGCTTGCTTACTCCGTCCCTTTGTACCCCCTCCCTCCCTCTCTCCCCTCTGACCTCATGGCCGCCACGGTGCCATCTTTGCTGCAGGCGATCAGCAGCCGCCGGCCGGGGTGCCAGCTCAGGTCCATCACAGAGTCGTCAAACAGCTCGTGGACCACCACCAGCGGCCGTTTTCGGCATGTCAGCCATACGGAGACGCCGTGGTCACGGGAGCCCAGTGCGCAGGCGCAGTACGGCGCGCGCCGGCCCTCGCCCGGACGCTGCAGCATGGCGCTGCTGAACCGGGCGCACGTGATCGCCTGGGGGGGAGACGGGGGGCGGGTCAGCGTCCGGGGGTAGGCAGGTGGGGTGCAGGGCTTGTTACGAACGGCATGGATACCGTAGAGGGCATAATAAGTTATGTAATACGATACCCACGATTTGCTGATCCTGGCGGGGCAGTTGTCCAATATCATTTCTACCTTACCTATCCAGCAGTGCTTGTATATAAGTCTGTCAACCGTTTTGTTGCCCCATAAACTGCCTACACATGTTTCTAACCTAAACAGCACACATTTAATAAACACATGACCGATCCCCATATAAGTAGTAAGTACGTCATCGAGTAACTCAGAATTACCCGACTGAACACAACATAAACAATAGTTTCACCCGTGCATCCCCTATCCATAGGCCCGGGCAGCGCTTGTCGAACAGCACTGCGGATCCGAAGGTTGGGACTTTAATTGTGAAAAACCGCCCGCCCGCCGCCAAACGCAAACACCGCAAAACGCACGCCTAAAACGCCAACTTCGCAAAAAAAAAAACAATCGCCCGCCCGCCGAAAACCGCACAAAATGCCGCAAAAAAACGCGCGTCCGCCGCAAAACACAAACACCGCAAAAAACGCAAACACCGCCGCCGCAAAAAAACACCCGCATCGTCCCATATCCATACCATTCATTAATAATTAGTTTAATCGGATCTTTCTGGTGAGTTCAGGCGGGTATGACCTGCAGTGTCGTAACAGAGGCGACGCAGGCTTCGCGCATGCGCACGAAAACCGA